GAAATCGTGCAAACGACTCAAAGTGCACTGACAGGAATATCCTGGATGTTACTGCAGGTTTAAAAACTGTCAAACTTGAGACCTGGACTGAACGAATGCGAAAAGATCCTTACGGAGAAAGACTCTCTCAACCTCCCTCTACACCGGTTCGACAGATTGCCATTAGACTACCTCAGGGACGGGTGGTAAAGTACCAATTGTCAGAGGACGAATAACTAGAACAAGTAATCAAGTAGTTGTTGTTTGTGCGCATGTCTCAAACGCGAATTTCAGTGAGGGGATTGAAATCTATAAATGTAATTGGTGGTAGCCGCATATTTTTAAGAGTTAATTATACGGAGAAGATAACGATAAAGAAGGTATACAATAAAGAACAGTTGCGATTGTTCTCAAAACTACCTTGCCTCAATGTGGTTGCTAAACATTATTTTTGTCAGCGTCGTACTGACCAAGTTTCCCAATCCTACGCACAATTTCCTTTTTCGTTCCGTTTTTCTTAAGCAATGTGTTTATAACTTGGAAAAGATGGGGTTTTACTACTCATTTCCCTCCACCACCACGCACTCAGGAACTCACCTCTTTGATAGTTTCTAGTATCACATTTACAAACTTCGTGGCTCGTGTAGTGGTTTTTACGTTCTAGGAATGATTTTCTAGAACTTATATATGCTATATCTAACCCAGGGGCTCTTTCGCTCATACTTGAAAACTTGCGTCCTGCCTTTTCTCTCGACCCTGGGTCTCCGAGGATGTATCTAGCCGGATATTTGAAAACGTTACCACCAAATGGACCTTTTGCGTCCAACAGTTATTATTTTTTTTTCGGCCAGAAACTATCTTCAAAGTAGCCATTAACGAAACTGAGAGTGCACCCATTGGTTTTTTTGTTTCTTCTCCTCCTTTCTTCCTCCTCGCTCTTTTTCTTTCTCCTTTCCTTTTGATTGAGTGATTTTGGAGCTTATCGGGCCCCAAAAGCCTGCCTTTTGACGCCTTTTCACTCAAATGACTGCAAATTTCGTTAGGCTGGTTTTCAAAAAATCGGCTAGATATATACATATATATATTTTTTTGGAAACGAAACCCAGAAAATTGAAAAGAGCTTTCGCCATGACAAATACTTGTCGTTTTATCTCGTATAACCTTTCTTTTATAGCATTTAACAGGTGCATGAGGCCTAAATTTAATTCGGATAGCTGTAATTATTGCCTTTTATTTGGACAATAAAATTAATGTCCTTTCGACACGACCACTCATTTTCCGATGTGTCTTTTCATGCAAATTTTTTGAAGTTTCGTTTGCTTGAAAAACGTAATTTCTTTGATCATTTGACAGCGCTTAAGAGTCCTCGTGAAACAAACATTTAATCGAGGTCTTACAAAGTGAAAATATCGTAGGAGAAAGTGGCACACACAAAAAACGACGTGAAATTAATGTTGGCTTATATCAGTCAATTTCCATATCTTGCGACAACAACTATTCATAATTTATGTTTTTAACATCTTCCATAGATCTCGCGCTGTGTGCTGTTGAAATAGGAGAATAAAGATGAATTTCGTGTAAAAATTCACTAAAATGGACATTCCTTTTATATTTTGGCTGCTGGTCTTCGATTGCTCTGTTTTCAGAGCTTACTCCTTTAATCTGAACTGCTTTGAATTTATCCTCCTCTGTTGTAGTTGGACTTCCGTTTTCAAGTTCATCCCATTTTTCTAAGCGATATCGAGGAATTTCGATATTTACAATAGGAACAAGCCAAAGATTGCCTTCTTCATGAGTTATTGCCTCAGACGTTAGGTCCATTTCTCGTGACAATGAAATACGAGGTAAGGCCGGTAACGTTGATGTCTTCGAAGAAGAGCTCCCTCCATTTCCAAAGTCGTGAAGCATGAAATGGTCTCTAGGCAACTGCCTAACACTTAAACAAGCCTGCGAAGAAAACGTGTTTCTCTCTTGGCTAGAATTATGCCTGTTTCGCTTCTTCTTTTTGTCCCGTTTTAAGGGCTCTGATTTTCTGTCCTTAAGCTTCGGCAGCGGAGGCATTTTGGGAAGCGCTGTGTAAAATATTTCTTTATTTTCTGGCGGTATGCTGTCTAATTTTGGCAGTCGTAGTTGTGCGCGAGTGCTGGTGACATCCCAGTGCCTCTGTGCCACTGAACGGTCAGAAAAATTAACGTTTCCCCCACTATTGAGAAGAAGCTGCTTCAGATAGTCTTTATCATTCAGGTGAAATGACTTCGGTGGGTTTTTAGGTGTCGTTGAGTTTTTCTTATGATTTCCACGCGCTTTTGTTGGTTCATTCAGATCTGTTGCAGTGTTTGTGCTAGACAGTCTTTTCGTGTCTCGTATCTCGCCAGTTTTGTTTGAACCGGATAATCCCTTTCTAAACAGACGTACAGCTTTTTCCTCATAACGTCTATGCAATAGCAGCAGCTCTCTCATTTCTTTGTAGCTTCTTTTATCCTTCACTGATTCGGAAGTCCCGGTCAGTGCGAAAGGCATGACTATAATCACTCACGCCATCCTCGACTGAAGAAGATGCATTTATCAAGCAATAAAAACAAAAACATTTCTCTTCATACCAACTTGATAAATCCAGTAGGTAAACTATAACTCCAATATCCTTTGGTAAACAGTGGCTCACTGGGAACTCCTTAGCAATGAAGTAACTCGTTGATTGTTTCAGATGAAGTGTGAATTCAAGATGCCAAACTGGGGGTGAATGAATATTTTATGAAATATTTAGGGTCTATGGCCAATGACCCAAAACATATCACGTTTCGAAGTATCTAAAACTCGTTTCAAAACATGATCACGCAATGATAAAAATTCAAAATAACAAAATACTGCTATGAGAAAGCATATGTAAAACTTCGATACTGTTAGGAAAAAAAATATATACTTTCGCGTGACATTCATTACTCCATTATTTGCATAATTTTGATTTTTAATCCCATTGTTCAGATTGTTGGCATATATCGAGTTTGTCAGTTCAACAAAACGACAGTACAAAACTATAGCTTAAAAATGTCAATCGAAGATCTACGCATGCCTCATGCCCTGCTTGTAAACTAAAGGATTTTAAGAGGCTCTTTCTACTGTCCCGTTTGGGCACGTAATATTAGAATTAACGTGTTAAACTAATTACAGTTACTAAACACAAAGACAAAAAAATCAATTAACTCATAGCAGTCACAGAATTAAGAAGGCTTAAAACAATGACTTAATCCTTCTTGTTTGTAACCTTTTATTCAAGCATTCCACAAATGATGGTCCCTGATTGGTTTGCCAGTTTTGCGGTTATTATCCAGAGGATCCATATCCGTAATGCCCGTTGCCAGGAGAGTACGAAATACACTACCAGGGAGGGGTACCTGAAAAACGTTATGAAGCCCAGTCCCAGATTCCAGAGTACAACCAGCAACCTCGTTCCCAGGGTTCTTCACGGTTTACGGGTAGGAGAGAGAACCTGGGAACGAAGTTGTCCCGAGGATAGTGTCCAAAAGCCCAGGTTCGATATATTAAATTTCTAACATGACTCCGAGGCTTTAGGGTCAAAATTGCAAATTTTTCGCGATTCCATTGTCTCGCAATTCCAAGAAGAGACTTGAGTACAAAGAAAACCAAACCAAATATAGGAAAATGACCAGAAAGCCTCGGAATCATGTTAGAATTTTAATTAATATATCGAACGTGGGCTATTTTAGCATCAAGAAAGAAAAAGATGATTGCATTTTCAGAAGGGTATCGTCATTTGTGGAGGGAACCGAGAAAGAGACATCCTTTTGCTCCAAAGTGGTAAAGGAAAATATAAGGGTTAACTTTAAGGACAAAATCTTCGCTTTTTCTTCCTATCCCGTTTTCCAGGGTCTATAAAATCTCCACTTGAACGTCACCACTCGAACTGTTCGGTAATCGAACTTAATCGAACGATGCGGTTCGATTAAGTTCGGTAGTCCAGGTTTTGAGTTGGCGGCCGTACGTAGAGCTGTCCACTTACGAGATTGTCAGTTATAGAGAGCTTCTGATGAATTTGTTTCAACCGATCAAGCCTTAAGATTACCTTTAGTAGAGAGTATTCCAGATTACCAAGATTATCAGATCATCGAAGATGATTTTCTTATGCAGGTGTCTTTCCAAAATCAATCAATTAATGCACATGATTTTTTGTCGCAAATGTAATGGGCTAAATGTTTTAATGTTTGTTTTTGTAACATTACGAATGTAGGAAACGTGATGGGGCACGGAGCAACAGGAAAAATAAGAGAAAAAATCAATAGTAAAAAACAAGCCCATGGCGGGATATTTTTAGTAAACGAATGTAGCTTTGTCTTATATGGCAAATTAACCGCTCCTCGATCTTCTTCCCCTTTTTGGTTAAATTAGATATTTGAATCCATGCCTGCAGGCTGTATAATGATAATTTTTTTGATCTGAATATATATGACAATCAGCAGTAATGTTAAAATAAGTAATTTTCTTCGTTTATAACAGTTCAACATTTGGTATATCAGTTTTTTTCCCTATTCCTACAGTCGTTCAGGTTATTGGTGTAGTTAATAAACTCGTGAGAACATAATGTGCAGTCTTCTCAATTTACTTGTGAACGAGCACTTCATACAAAGCTTTGCTGGAGATGTAGGTTCCATAAATTGCTACAATCAACCCAAACACGATCATAGCGTAATCCAAAGCAATCTGACGCATGTTGAGGTCTTTTCCCCTCAGAATTAAATGAGCAATACAAGGCAAAATGCAGTTGAATAATGGAAGGGATAGATTGCCGAAAAACGACGTTAAATAACCAAAGTGTGGAACAAAAACTGCTGCCAAGAGAGTGAGGGACACTAGGATCAGACGAATCGAGGAAAAATAAACAAATCGTGGCAGTCTGACTTTTGATTGGAGACTTAGATAAAAAGAAGATCCTTCAATATACTGGAAAACTGCGTGAAGGGGCAACGCAAAAGAAACTAAACAACTTAAAACAAACACCACGCTGACGATAATTTTTGGGACATTGTTCGGCAGATTGTTGATCACAATTTCATCTGTCATGAAAGAAAACGAAAGAAAACCAAATATCGAAAAAGGTAATTTGAAGACCACCGCTACGATGTAAGCAAACGCCAAGGCTCTTCCAAACTTGGACTTGTCGGCCATGCTTTCCTCAACAGAAGGGACAATAGGGGCTGAACCATAGCTAAACATGATGGTCCCTAGGGAAATGAGGAAGCCTTCTGTGTCCCAAAACAAAAGAGCTTTGACATCCCACTCGGAAGAATGAGATGCCGCATACCACAGGATCATCAACGCGGTGCTAGCTAAAGCCACAACACCAATAACGCTCAACCAGGCGATCTGCGATAATGACTTCAGAAAAGTAGTTGGGAGAACCACTATCGCTGCAATGCATGTCCACAGGGTTTCTGTAAGGGGTAGGGACGGGAAAGCTGTTGCCATCAGCGAACCACACACGATAAGATAGGACGTTGCTATGATAGTCAAATCAAAACACTGTACAGCGGTTACCACAATGCCACCAAATCGAGGCCACATGTCTTGTCCGATTTCACGCCAGGAAGAGCGTATGCGTGTTTTGCCACGAGGCCCATCTGTATAATAAAGACAGTCAACAAGAACCAGAGCTGTAAACCAATAGATGACAGGCATGAAAAGAAAGGCTGCAATAGCAGCTATTCCTCCTTTGGCAACAGCAAAAGGCAGTGCCAAAAATCCAACTCCTTCGATGAAATTGATTATGTTAAGTGCTGCCTTCCACACTGAAGCCCGTCCCGGGGACACTCTGATTAATGGCGTCCCCTCGTCATAGTCCTCCTTATCTGAAGTTAAATCAACGTAACTGTAGCTATCAAAATGTTCCATCATCTTTCCTATGACGGAAATAAGATAAATAATGGTAAGGCAATCCGTATTCCGAAATTCGGGGAATTTTTTATTATGGAATCCGGAATCCTGGGACTTGGAATCAAGGATTCAGCACTAGGAATCCGTAATTCATGTTCCACTAACAAGGAATCCAAAATCCAGAAACTAACGGCTGCGATCAGGCGGTCCTTCTTCCCTTTTCGTTTTTCCCCTTTCCCCGTCCGCCGACACTATCCCCGAAAAAAGAATACCTGATCGCATGTTCTGGAATCCGGAATCCACCGCGTAAATTTGAAAACCATTGCATTAAATCCAGAATCCAAGACTGTTAAGGATTACATTGCACGAGGAAGACATTTCATTGAAAACAATTACTTTCTAGAGATAACATTTTTTTTATTTAGTCTACCCTGGGGTCGGCCGTAGGCCGACACAATCGGGACTTTTCCCAGGGGACTTCTCTTCGTCGGATGGCACTGAACAAATACAAGACGACGATACACCGCAGAAAAAGCATTTAACACATATATATTTAGCACTGATTTATCTTAGCGCTGATTTATCAGTCTTTCTCTCGCCGTAATACGATGCTGTGCCGATAACCATATACATTTACCGTGTTATACAGCGCGGTTTATACTTTCGAAGACGGTGCTGTTTGCGGTGTTCATGAACAACGGATTGCGTAACCACTTCTCGATCGATTGCGTAAGTCTTGTGTGGTTCTTGAGGGCTCGGCAATGTGATTCACTGCACCGCTACACGGAGAATATTTACTACTTTTCAGCGTTTGTAAATGTACGGATAGCCCAAGAGCCCGCATTGAAATTTCAGAGTGCTGACAAGGCTTCACGCGGCAGCTTTTATAACTTGTATGCGGCGGGCTGCGATCATCATCCCTTCAATAGCTATGTCTCTAAATAGGAAAAAAAATGCCTGATTGCATGTTCGACAAGTTTTACGACGTATAAACCTACCTGTAAATTTTTGTGTGAAGACTGGTTAAGAATACTGTGAATAGTGTAAATGGTCGCGAATCGGGGGTTGAACACAGCTGAGCCGGCTCGCTAGTTTGCCGAATTTGCTACTTAACGTGTAAGGTCTAAAGACATCGTACAGCGTCCTCACGAATATAACACAGATTGTTACTCAGTAAGGTTAGTTAAACTTTTACAATATTAAAATTTGGACGTAAGACCCCTTGACCTTTTGGAACCCCGTAGCTCATTGGACTATGAATTAGCCAATAGAGTTGGTCGTTTCGCCCACAAATCCCCTTGGCTTACGGCTTTAGTCGTTTCGCTGAAGAAATAGACTACGAGTAGTCCCCCGTTTGTCCTCAGGGATAGTAGAGCAAGCGAAACGCGAGCGCGCGTAAAAAATTACCCCACGCGAGAAAGGCGAGACGTGGTGGGGAGAGAGAAAAATAAAAAATTCTCTCTCCCCGCCGCGTGTCACCTTTTCTCGCGTGGGGTGATTTTCACGCGCGCACGCGACAAATGGGGGACTACCCGTAGTCTACTGAAGAAACGAAACGAGCGCTGCACATGTATATGCCTAATTCAATAAAGGTTGCTTTGGTAATTGGTCAATGGCAATAGCCCATGTTCAATATACTAAAAGTCTAACATGACTCCGAGGCTTTAGGGTCAAAATTGCAAATTTGTTACGACTCCGTTGTCTCGCAATTCCCAGAAAAGACTTGAGCAGAAAGAAAACCAAACCAAATATAGAAAAATGACCAGAAAGCCTCGGAGTCGTGTTAAAATTTTAATTATATAGAACTTGGGCTATTGGGCATTCAGCTCAATGCAATGCTTTGCTTGAGTGACCTCAAAATAATAGATTCCCAGTGCCCAAATACCAATACCCAAAGCAACCTTTATTGAATCAGCTACATACCTCGTTGTTTCAGCCATGAAGCGAAAAAATGCGACACACACGTATACACCGCGTTCTTTAAGTCACAGATCAGAATCAGATCAGACGGAAAAAGTAAGAGACGAGGCGAAATGACTTAAGATATTAGCGAACAGGGCGTTGGCGAAACGACTCGTAGGCGAAACGACCGTAGACCCTTAAAGCAAAAAATTGTTTCGTTTTACTCGTTACAAAATTTGATTTAATAAAAGATGTTTGTAAACAGTTTTAGATCGCTGTTAGGCTGTTGCTATAAAGATGTAACTCACTTCTGAACCCTCAATGAAGTTTTTTTTGTTTTGCTTTTTGTATGATAAAGGTAAACTTTATTTTTTTTTTTATTTCCTGCTGTCTTGTTGTCCTTACGCTCATACCATAATGTCATAATTTGATGCTACTCTCGTGAACATTTCAAGAAAAGTACTGCATTATTTCATTTACTGTGGGTAAGAGCTCAACCTAACTGAGTCTAGGGCAAAAACAAGACCTAAATTACCTAACACATTGTACCAACAACCCTGCATTCACTGTTGTTTCTTTATAAAACAATCAAGGCTCTGTATAGTACAAACTCTCGATGTCTTCTAAGTGATAAAAAAGATAATCAGTAAAAAGAACCCGAAAGCATCAATAATTATTTTAATTTGTTCACAATAGTATCCTGTATGATTTCAAGTGTCAAGGTTTTCAATATTTTCTCCACTCTTCATTTCTTCATCCTGATCAACAGGTAATAAAGGTTTTGTTGATGTAAGTGTGTATGATCCCATTCCAGCTGCTCTCTCAGCTTCTTCTGGTGTGTATGGCACTTCCTTTAACATTTTCACCCTGACAAAAGAGAAAAATCACAAGTCAGAACTGACACTGGGGATGAGGGGGGGGGGGAGGGGTAAGAGTGGGGGCAGGGGTGGGAAAGGAAGAGAGAGAGGTGCTGCACCCAAAAGTTTACCTTTGGGGAAGTCTTTCGCACACTTGGTATTTTCACAAGTTGAGATAAAGGTAAGGGTAAGAAAATATTGTACATTGTTGCATAATAATATTTTCTCCTCTTTCCCCTGCTTCACTCCCTT